TGACCCTTGTTGTAACAGGTACACGGCTTCAGGTTTTCTTGAGACTTGCGCATGTCAAGCCCATGTTTAAAAATCGTAGCACACCAAATCGTGGTTTCAGATGTGTATTCGACAGACATGTGGTGACTCAGTTGTTGGCGTTTTGATTTCTCCGACACGAAAAACAGTCGCTGTCACAATGAGACTCCGCCACTTCCATATTAAAGGTTAAGTTCTCGTCGGTTAATCCTTTTTCGTTGACAAAAATGTATCCATGCTGAGCTTCGCTTACAGGTCCACAAAACATGATTTTCTTTAGGGCTAAGATAGGCCAACGCCCTGTGGAGTCTTTGGACGATTGGGACAAATTCGAATCTAGCAGCCATTCTGACACAGTTCTAGGCGTAATATTCGGAGATACGGTTACCTAAATTTTAGATACGATACAACGCATACCCAATCTGCCTTGGATGATGTTTGTCTGTTCATCGTCATTGTAATGCAATCGGGGAGAACGCAAATCTCCAGATCCTCAGGGCTGAGAAAACCAGCGACATGTTCTGCATGGGGCAATCGCAATTCACAATTGACCCGCAGACAGTTGGACCCTGGTTGTAAATAATTGATTGAGGGTCTTCGGGATCGCCCATTTGAAGGGTTCGAAGGGAAGATAACCTAAAAGGGTGCGGACCTGCTAAAGCTCAATGATCTTTTCGAATCGGGTTCATAAGAAACTAGGGACTCGGTGGCGGCGAGCCGGATTTCAAACTACTGTTGCGTGATGCAAGGGCAAACAGATGAGCGGGAATAACAAAAAATAAGGGGTGAAAGTAAAAAAGTAAAATCACAAATAATACGAGCAGCACGGGCACATGCATGGTGCTTTCAAACTGGGAGGTATCAGCACGTAGTACGAATATCCAGCCTGAGGAACTTTAGCATGGCGGACTTGATATTTGTGAACAACCACCAGTTGGGAGCAGAATGGAGGAAATACAGCACGAGAGTTCGTATTGCCCTGGTAGTCTGTAGCCTGAGCCCTTCGTAACTTGGTGGTGTCCTTTCAGGGACCAGTTGAAATTTTGCATTGGTGACGCCCATCAGACAGCCACCACGGCTAGAAAGAAAAGAAAATAACTAGCTTCATCAGGCCATTCAATGATTCTTGACGCTAGCCATGACGGACGATGTGTGCAAATCTATTACTGTATGTCCCTTGGCGGGTTTAATACTCCGTAGAATAATATCCACTCGGCGGCATGTATGAAGTCTGCATAGAGCAAAAAATAAACCTCGGAGTCATGGGTTTGCATTTGGCAATGGGGGCTGACGATGGATTAGAGCTGGGAATGCTGGCGCATTCATCCTTACTATTCGACATGCCGGTAGTTGTTGCCTTGGGCTGTTTTAAGGGAAGCCCTGCGTGTTCTTCTTGGTCAAGGTTATTGTGCTCAGTGGCCTATGGAATACTCTGTCTGGCGGCGATTGCATGAGGTGGGGCAGTTTTTGGCGACACTTTTGGCGACACTTTTGGCATCAACCCAGCGGCCTGCAACCTGTCTTGCCATTTTCGATGAGTCGATGGTCAGACCTGGGAGATGAACCATGAATTCCCATGTGCCTGGCTCCTAAGCTTACTCGTACCTACAATGTCGCCCGGCCACACTTGACGACGATATTTTCATGATAGCTTGAATGTTTTGCCCGCTTATTTTCCCCTGTTCTTAAACACGCTGACCCCTCCAGTGCTCATTTTGGAGAGCATTGAGCGTTTGACAACAACGGATACTTGTGCATATTGGACTGAAGGGGCAAGGGTTTTCGGCAGCGGTGCAAATATAGCGCCTCAACATAGCCCGTCAGAACGACAGCTCTGTGCCGTACACGCTAGCCTATGTTTAGTATTTACACAGTTATTGAGACTTTCCCCACATTGGCAGTACAAAATACTCCGTAGATTGGAAAATATCATTGCAAATGAAAATATTGTTGCAGTGGGACCCACCCAAGGGGTCAACTGGCGGGTGGGACGTGGCCACAATTATGCATAAATTTTCGCTAGAAATCTTATTGTTTACTTTTCATATTCCTCAGGCCTTTGCAAGTTGCCATTTTACCTTTTTCTTAACTAATCCTATGATTCTGAAGTGTCCAAATACGTGATTTGCCCTGAGAAGATGGTAGATTACGTTATGGCGGTTGTGCCGCGGTGTGTAGACGTGGTTCAAATTCCTCCAACCATAACAGAATTTTCGAACCATGGATGCGGTCAATTTGAAAAAAAAGTTCAAAAAATCTATCTTTGCCTATCACCACAATTCCGGGCCATCATTGCTCTCTTAACCCTTACGTCCCTGATGCATTTGGATTTGTTATTATTTATGCATGATTTGGTTATGGCTCGCTCACGGTTGGACTCCAGGACTCGTTTCGATGGGAATGCGGGAGAG